AGATAAAGAGGTAGCTAGCTGTGTCAGTCTGAAGTCGGACAGGGTAGCGGTGCACCCTACAGAGAGTAACCGTTGCCCGAGAAAACCTAAGTTGTTACATCTGGGGAAAATAATTACAGCAACATACCATAACAGGAACAATAGGAAGTAGATGCTTAGATAAGTAAAAATGCCCCCAAAATGCTGCATCACTCAAAGGGATAAAAGCAAAACCTCCTCCACGCCCCCCCCCCCCAAAAAAAAAGAAAGAAAGAGAAAATGTATATTGAAAGCATGTGATGTTGTCTATCAGTTTGTGGTACATTACCCTTCATGAAAGCCTTTTGTCATTTAAAGCTAGACTGACTAAAATAATTAAGAACATGTAGCAGAAAACAATTTTGCATTGGGGTATGGTCAAGATAAAAAAGATCTGTTAGAGTCTTTCTAATATTGATTAGCCTGTTTTTACTAATGTCACTGACAAAACTTCTATTGACTTTGCAAAGAGCAGGTGCAGTCTCTCTGACACCTAGCAAACAATGTGGGCAAACCATGTCATGTGGGGGGGGGGGGAGGCAGAAATTTAAATAGGGAAAATTGTGGTTTATTGGCTTTATCCTCAAAAATATTACGACACTTGCACCTCCCACTGAAGTTCAGAGTTGAATGTTTGTGTTGTTTGACATCAGGCCCTCGCTGCGATAAGATGGTTTAGAATAATGCCAAATTACAATTTGCTACTCACCGTCTGGTCTTTGAAATATTTAAGTTCATTCCTATGCAGTGTAAACCACCTTGTTTTCCAGTTCTGAAATTAGAAAAAGGAAAAAAAAGGAAATTGCTTTTTAATTGCTGTATTTTTGTTTTAAATGTCTCAAAGAGCCAGCTTTCCATTTAAAAAAACACTTTTTGGTAAGCATAAGTTGAAGCATAGCTGATCACTTCCTTTAGCCAGTGATGTCCCATGTAAAACTAAGATAACTGCCAAAAGGAGAATATAAGCATTGTATTAAAAATGCAGATAAGAAATGGTCAAGATTTTTGTTTAAGGACATCCAAACTTTACTAGAGTGTAATGTTAATCCTATTATACCTTCTCTAAATACTGCAAAGTGCTTTATAAAAAGACAAAAAAAAAAGTCATCAGCATTTTGCAGAGTAGATGGGGAAAAGTGGGTTTCAGAGATGTCAGAATGACTTGCCCCGGCCATGTAGTGAATCAAAGGTAGAGCAAGGAAATAGAGCCCTGATCTTGTGATTCTCACAAGCTGCCTTTTATAAATGGTTTTGAGGGCTTGGACTGGCATATGCCATGTCAAGGACTCCAGCCCTGCAAGGTTCAGAACTCCTCCCCTCGGGAAGCTGAGGGTGTTCAACACCATGCACTATCAGGATTAAATAAACAAGAAACAGAGGATCAGACTGTCTGTTATCTGTAACAACACAAATACAAATGTACATGTACAAAATGTTCCAGCATATTGGTATGTGAACAAAACACTGTGAAGAAAAGATCAAAGGCACCCGTGACTCTTTATCTGTCATTTCATTGTAATGGTGAAATCGCTACTATAAACTAATGGGATATTGGGTTATAAAAGAAGGCTTTTTTATTTTCTTAGTATTTTTAATTTCCTTCTTCAGACCTGGGATGGAACAGAAGAGTGTGAAAGCTCTAAAGTTTTTTGTTTTGTTTTTTTTTCCTTACCTTTACTATTTTGCCTTGTTTTATCAAATACCCTTCTTTTGTACCCAGCTGCAGAAGAAACGAGAAAGGAAGACAAGGTTAAGGGCTGCACAATGTTTGTATTTTTGAACCTTTTCATTTTGAGCAAAACAAAACCAAGCTACAGCTAGTTCTCTTCCAGATGCTTCCCACAATTACTTACTTTACCTTGTGTGGCTTATATACTGTCCCCATTGTGTGAGCCAAACTTACCCATGATGTAAACATAATTCCAATAACTTTAAAAGAGCAGCACCCCCTTGCACCAAAATTCAAACTGACCTTTGGTGCATGAAGACTCTGGCCAGCACAGAGTTCTCAAAGAACATAGTGGGAAAAGTTCAGTGAATACCAATGAAGAGTTATTTTAATTCATACAATTGTCTTATTGTTCAAGTGCAGCAAGATGTCACATGCTGCAACCATCAAATTCTGGGATTCTTCCAGCCAGTGAGATTATCTATATAAACTGCTCTTTTAAAAAGATTAACAGCAACAAAGCACTTCTTTGCTTTAGTTAAGCATCCTCTACACATAACGAATGTGCTTGCAATAAGAAATAAAGGAAACGGACAGCACGTTACTTCAATGCATGTTCCAGAGAATATTTGATCTGGTCAGGCAAGTGTCCATTTGACTTCAGGAGGAATCCTAGATGCATGATTTTGGCCAGCATTCAGAAGCAGTCTGTAATTTGGGGAGCTTTAACTTATTGGATCCCTCATTTGCAACATCATGAAGGAGTCTGACTTTTCCCCAAGTGAACATCTGACATTTGGACCTCCTTCAACTATCAGGTGAATGACTACCCGCTTTTGAAAATTCTGGCCTTTTTGATGTTGGCATGTGAAAGGTTCACATATTTCTTTAAAGATAAAAATGAACATTACCACAGCAGTTTTCTTGCATGCCTGACCATCTCTCTGACTGGGACAGGTTTTCCTGATCTCTCCTCCTAATTTCTAACACTGATCTCTGCTGTTTCTTTTTCCTTTATTTTTCACAAAGAATTAATTCCATACTTGCATACAGCACCTTCCTCTCTGTGCTGGATATTGCTGTCCTGGACATTTGGATTGTATCCTGGACACACCACCTGTCTTGACTAGACATTGGATACTAAGGATTTAAAGTCTCCAGTTACTGTTCAGGCAAGTCACAGATGGCAGAGGCAGGTGGACCAAATGGATATGAAAATGTTCTCTTGTTTCTCATACCAACACAGCACAGCTTTTACCATGCTCAAAATTACAGAAGCTGAAAATAGGGAGCACAGGCTACAACTTCATAAGAGAAAGCTCAGTACAGATCACCCTCTGTACACTGGGGACACTTCACTGCTAGCATGCCCCATGTCTCCCAAATGTTATTTGAACTGTGACCTTCAAATAAATAGTATAAGAATAAGGCCTACATGAACTGTGCATGGATGTCCAAACATGCTATTACTGAAAAGCTTTTGAACATTTGTGCAAATATTTAGCTGGGTACCCCACCCAGTTGACTTGGTGCTCCAGCACACAAGGGCTCACTCAAGTCCTCCTCTTCTGGAAATTTGCCCTTGCCTCTTCCAAATATTTGCATGATTTTTTTTTTTTAAAGAAAAAGGAGAGGTACATTTCCTTGAAGCAACAAAGGGAGACACTTCACTGATATTAAAATGCTACTTTAAACCAACAGTAATATTCTAAAATGAAGAAGTTAAGTAGCTATTGATTTGTTTTGAGGTACATTTGTAGACTTGTAACCAGTACTACTATTTGCCTCCCTGCTTAACTAAGCCAGTCCTACACCTCTTTATTTTACTCATAAGTGAAATGAAATAAATTTCTCACTAATTTTAATAGAAATTTGCTTGAGTAAGGCCTGTGGCTCAACATATGTATTTTCACCTACAGTCTAAATCTATCAGAAATATCTCTAAATCACTAAGTCAAACAATAAGATGGGAGGAGGGAAATAGTTTTAAGGCTACTTTTTAATGTTAACATTCTTAAAGATGAACTTCTAGGTTTTTATTTTTGAAGAGTCAAAAATATGTAATTATGACATATTTACATATAACATCTCTAATTAATATTTTCAGTCAGCATTGCACCCTCTGAGAAGAATGGCAGGAAGCTTCTTATTCATCACATCACTGCTTCTAGCCAGGTGTTTTTTTTTATTTTTATTCTTATTACTGGAATACATATATAAACATTTTAAGAGGACTGATCACTAGTGCTTATTCCAGGGTTCATAAAGTTGGCCATGTCACATTGAGTCAAGGAAAGGACACTTCGTAAAATAGCAACTTACAGAGGGAGCATTTGGGACAAGATCGTTTTCTGTCTTTCCTGTCTGCATGGCAGTGTGAACTCGGACAGACTCATAAATTGACGGTTCTTCCACTTTCCGAGGATATGGATGTTTCAGTACAATCAGGGTGCCTGAAAGAAAGAGAATGCTAGTGAGTGCCCTGGCAAAATGGATATCACAAAATAATTGGTACCAGCTGCCTATTCAGATGATCAAACTTGAAGGTATCATTGCTGAAAACCTTCTGAATATCTGAGCACATCTCTTAGCTCTGTAGTTTGAAGGCAAGCTATGTCAGGACCCCTCTAGATGTTCAGGTAAAGGTGTGATAGGATCTGTTGAATGATCTACACAATCGTGCCACGCCTCCTGCCATGCCACACACACATGGCAGAAGGCATGACTGTGGGATCCAGCATCAGATCCAATCATTTTATTGCTGATGCAGAGGGAGCCTGTGATTGCCACCCTGGGCTCTCCCTGAACCAGCAAGTAGCAAGGTCCTGTAGCTGACAGGACCCCCAGCCCTGGTGGCACCCCAAGCATTGTCACGGCTGAGAGTCCCAGAGTTGACAGGTCTTTCAGCCACAAGGGCATAGACCTTGCTACACATGCAAATTAAAGCTGGACAGAAACCAGCTATAAAATTATTACACATTTTTCCAGGTCTAACTTTATTGCTGGATGAACCTTTTTATGGTGTGATTGTTACTTTGCACAGGTAGTCAGTCTAAATGAATTGCTCTTAGCCAGTCCTAACCAGTTAATTGTGTAATACGTGTAACAGGTAGAGGGGGCCTAAATCATGTATAATGTCCCATGTACTGCTATAGCATGTCTGTGGTTTCAGGTTGCTCAGCAAAGATGACAACAATCAAGTCGAAGGACAATCAGATTTTATGTCATACAGTACTCAGAAATATTGATAAACTTGGGCAAATCCTTTCCAAAGCAGACAGCCCACGCAGCTGTACTTCATATAAGGTGTTGGATAGAAAGAAAACAAAACAAAACTTTCTAAGCAAGCTACAGTATGGCAGCAGGCAATGACTAATGGACTTGTGTAGTGGTAGGTCCACCATGATGGATCCTCTCTCTTTACCTCTGTTGTATTCTTATAAATGTTTCACAGGACACAAAGTCAGGAACTTGGGTATGGGCTACCCAAACCCTGCCCCTCTCCTCTGTACAGTGGACCCGCATTAGTTCTGCAGACTCCTGCTCACCACTGTTTGTACCCACTGTCACCTCTTCTCTTCTTTTACTGCAAGACTTTGCCAACTTTTTTAATTTGCCTTATCTACCTCAATTTCTTGCAGGTAGAAAAACTATGATGACAGCAGAGTTTCAAATCTTTTTGTGTTACAGTTTGAATCTGTTTCGTGTTCATGGAATAATCAAATAATATTTAAGTGACAGAATATTTAAGTCCATAGTTGTTGTGGTTATCAAAAACCTCATCTATATTCAATCTTTAACAACACCTGAAAGTCATTTCTTGCCCTGCAAAATTCTGATGTAGACAAGCCTCCTTCTCTTTAGAGGCACAACTATATGACTGAGCCTGATATCCTGGGCTGATTAGTATTTTCATAGCTGCCCTCAATGTTCAAGCTGCATATAGACATCCAGACTCAAGAGTTGTGTGTGGATAGGGAACCAATGTTTGAACTTGAGTCCAAATGTGGAAAGACATTAGCTTCCCTCCTCTATACAAAATGCAACAAGAGGCCAGAAGGGCCAAGTAGACCAGCCATCAGGAAGCCTTCGGCATCATCTTGTCTGCCACTGACTTGGTGTGTGATGCTGGACAAGTCATTTGGAGTATGTCAACACCATTTTCCTGCTACTCCTGAGAAGTATGGCTGTTGAGCTTGCCCCACCCTCCTGCTTCAATTTCAGAGATTCATAGATGTTAGGGTCAGAAGGGACCTCAACAGATCATTGAGTCTGACCCCCTGCATAGGCAGGAAAGTGTGCTGGGTTCAGATGACCCCAGCCAGATGCCTATCCAGCCTTCTCTTGATGACCCCCAGGGTAGGGGAGAACACCACCTCCCTTGGGAGCCCAT